CAACAACCGGAAAAAATTTTCCCAACGCCCTCCCAACAACGAGCAAGTACTGCTGAAGGCAACCCCTCCCCTTATGGCGTCCGTGAAACAAGAAAAACCAACTATCAAAAATTTTCTCAGATCAAATAGACCCCCTACAGCCAGCGATCAATCACGACTCCTGCAATAGGGTTCTCTTGAACTTCGTAGTCTCAGAACAAAGAGCTGTACGACTGGGGTTTTCTCAGCCAATGTCTGGCTATATAAAGTGAACGAGAAACAGGAAAAATCACGGAAATTCGACAACCGGGATGAATTCTTCGTCGAAGCCAGATATGATCCTCATCAATAAAAGGACGGCACTCCCCAGATATCAAGTACAATCCCCGATGAAATTTTCTCAACAATGCTGCAGTCTTCTCAGAAGGAGGGGACATCAGTCATGAAAGCACACCAGCCCCACTTGGCCATAGGGAGGTGAGCCCCTAAGTATGCGCCCGTCTTCTGTTTGCTAGCTATTGTTTGTGCTTCCCTTTCGGCTTCCGAAACAAATGGCATCTATTAGTCTTTTCAAGTAGAATTGTTGGTTGCCCTGAACGATCGATCCTCCGGGAAAAGCTATGGTAGCGCAGTGGTAAAAACCAGTGACCTCCATCTAAAGGGCAGGGCCCCAAAATCCTACCATTAGAAAAACTTCTACGACCCTTTCCAGTGTAAACCCCACTTCCAGTTCTCAAAATGTTGTCAACAGACTTAGGAAACGGGCCCCATTAATCACCAAAACGGCTTGAATATGTATGAGTGGGAGACTCAATGCAGACTGGGACGCCCCAAACAAGATGGATTGGAGTATTTCCGAGGTTTATTGAAGACTCTCCTCGTTCTCGGAATGAGGGCAGCTGCTTTCACTAATAAAAAATAAACAAATTAAATGATCAAGCCTGCGCCGTTATCCCACCCCTTATTAGGATGCGGTACACATTCCTCTTTCATTTATAATCAAAGTGATTAATGCATGCGTTGTGGACCATACAATGACTTCCGGGGCCCAACCAATGTTCAAATCAGGGTACTTGTTCTTCCAGGCGAATCTGGGACCAATTAGTCGTTCCCAGAGAACGGAAGGTTTGGTCGGCTGGGCGGGAGCCGATCGGGACTCGACTCGCGGATCGCGCGTGGTAAGCGTGCCACTTGCCACTAGTCCACCTCCGCATCCACCAGTTATACGCAGGATAAACCCATATCGAATTTTTCATTCATAGGAGCGCAGTAGTGGCGAAACAGGCTAGTTGCCTCAGAAGGAGCTACTATTTACCGGGACCTAGCGGATCATGATGATCTGTGACGCGACAAAGTGACGTTATGCTGTCTAGGAGGGCGCAGTGAGAGAGTGGCATGTCCTGACGTTGACAAACCCTTTGTGGACATGTCACGTTGTCTCTATGAGAGGGTATGGACGAGCAGACATGACGTGGCTAGGATTAGCAGGATAGTGGCATTCTATTAAGAAAGATACCCGTAGCGGTTTCAATTATGAATTTTTGAAAGGACTTTTCCTCACCTTTTTCATGCATCCATGGAAACCGGAAATCATAGCGAGGTGATGCGGTAGCTCGCCATCGTATCCACCAATGTACAGCATTCCGGGCTCAGTGAGGGGACCACGAATTGAGATGAGCTGCGATTCTACCCACGATTGGCGATCCACCTAAATGAACAGCATTTCTCATATGAAGAAGGTGAGTGGAAGTCCAGTAATGACGAACTTTCATAAGAATTCCTTTGCCAGTTCTCCAGATTTCCGCGCGGTGCCATTGATGTAGTGTGACCGGGGATTCCGACCTGAAAAGGAGCGGTTAGGTTACTAGGGGTCGCGGCTGATTGAAAACAAGGAAAGAAAACTGGTATCAAATGACTGTAGAGTGGAATCAGGAGCGATCACCAAGAATAGCTTGGAAAGAGAAAAATAGGAGTTTGATTCCATGAAAAAATATTGAAGTACCGAATCCCTTTGAAGCTCCCAACCACATTAGTTGTTGCCTAATTCTTCTATTCTGCAACGTAGGCGACGTTTTTAGGCCGCCAGCACCTAGAACTTTTTTCTTCTACCACACGGGCTTCACTTGAGGGCTGTTCTCCTCCAGCACTCTTAGAGCCCACACATTGCTCGTTCCCACAACCGGCTGTTTCACGAACTGACCCCTTACATGAGCGAGAATTGCTCCTCAAATCGAGCCCATGCGAAAATCGAGCTGACTTTGCTTTGCTTCAGCTTGGACTGTAAGACGTTGACTCCATAAGGCACTCAAGCGCTCGTAAGGATCTCGCAATAACGATATTGGACACATTTGGGCACTATTTACCCTTTACTGCCCCAATCTGGGCAAATCAGTCAAGTTTTTTTTTTTCTTCTCCGAGCGCACATT